CATAACAGAACAAATTTGGAGTCCAGTGCACCTTTAAGACCAACAAAGTTTTATTCGAGATATGAGCTTTTGTGTGCACACACACTTTTTCAAATACATTGGAAGGAAGGTAAGGTTCAAACTTATAGATGGGATGGACCACAAATTAACATGTCACTTGATGAAGATGTTTTAAGATACTAAGCAACACAAAACAAAATAACAAGCTAAGGTTATAAGGTCAACAGTTGTAAAGCAATAAATATGTCAAAATAAGGCTGAGACTTTCCATTCACTCCTCTCATGTAATGTAATGTAATGTAATGAATAGTAGAATGTAATGTAATTTGGAATGGTAGATCTAATCATACCACCTCAAAGAGGTGCTTGAGAGATGGATGGCGCATAATAACAGGGGCTCAGTTAATTACTCCCAGCATTCCCTTAAGAAGGTGACATCTGCCCGTCAATCTCCAATTTTGACTTATTTTCTTCACTATGTTTTCCCCTGGAATTAACCCCAAACAAATGGTGACCATATAAACTATGTTATTCCAGTGTGGTCCTTGCATCTGTCAAACACCTTTATTATGCTGTATGCTAATTTGCTGCTCACCCTCTACCTATAATGTATGGACTGGCAACTTCCACTTCAATGTATCTGAAGAAGTGTGTGTGCACCCAAAAGTTTATTCCTTGAATAAATGTTTGTTGGTGTTAAAGGTGCCACTGATCTCAAACTTTGTTCTGCTGCTTCAGACCAATATGGCTGCCTACTTGAATCTATCTTCAAATTCTATGCATTTGTAGTATAGACAATGTAGAAGTGAAAAAGAAGAAGAAGAAGAGATTGGATTTATACCCCACCCTTCACTTGGAGTCTCAGAGAGGCTTACAAACTCCTTTCCCTTTCCCTCTCCACAACAGACACCCTGTGAGGTGGGTGGGGCTGAGAGAGCTCTGACACAAACGGCTCTTTTTCAAGGACAGCTGTGCCAGAGCTTGCGACTGATCCAAGGTCACATCAGCAGGTGCAAGTGGAGGAGTGGGGAATCAAACCCGGTTCTCCCAGATTAGAGTCCATGCACTTAACCACTACACCAAACCAGCACAACCCTCTGAACCATGATCCATAGTGTACTGTCTGTAGATTATTTAGATGTTAAAAACATAGTCCTATGGATCTGTATTCAGAATTACATCCCTCTACATTCGCCAGTGCTAACTCTCAGGTAGGGGTGCCAGGTCCCTCCTGGCCACCAGCAGGGGTTGGCGGGGTAGGGTTGGGAAACTCCTGGAGATTTGGAGATGGAGCCTGGGCAGGACAGGGAGCTCAGTGGGGTACAATGCCGTAGAGCCCAATCTCCAAAGCATCCATTTTCTCCAGGAGAACTGATCTGTAGTCTGGAGAAGAGGTCTAATTCCGGGGGATCCCCAGGTCCCCTCTGGAGGCTGGCACCTCTAGGTAGACCTTAGATTGTACCCCATTTCTAGGTAAATTTGGTTTCGATCTAATGTAAATGAAAGAAAAGTCTGTTAATTTCTGCCCTTTTCCAGGAGGCGGAGGCGGCGGCGGCGAGTAGATCTTGAGCACGGAAGGTGACGGCGCACCGACTCGCGAGGACGGACAAAGCTTGCAAGAATACTGGGGGAAAGGCGAGGCCGGTGAGAAGATGCAAGCGCTGTTAACTCCCCCTAGTGGCCGCGCCGCGCTCCAGCCCCGAAGAGCCCAGCCGAAGCATAGAGATAGGAAAAAGCGACACGCAGCCTGAAGTTCCGGTACCAATGGAACGCCACGACAGGAGAGAGAGTCACGCAGTGCCGTTATTGTCTGTCAACACATCTCGTTTTAACGGAACTGAAGCGCCCGTTCTAGTTTCCCAATACAAGACATACAAGGGTTTCTTCATGGAAGATCCAAATGGTACCCCGGTTCTGACAGAAGCATTCCCTTCGTAGCCGGAAGGTCAGATTGCGGCGACCCTATTTTCCGGGTTGTCTCTGGGGCGGCGGCGCTCTATCCCTGAACATGTCTATGGTGAAACCCCCTGTATACTTTTGGGTTGGAAGCGTTCTAGCCTCTTCCTGCGTCTCTATGAGGCGAAGGGCTTGGCCGATAATTGAAAAGACGCCTAGAAGCACGCCCATAGAAGCGTCGCCGCGGTGACGTCATCCGAAGCGCGATTGCCCGGATGTAGACTGGACGGGGGAGGTGCAGCCCCCCCTCTGTTGACATCCGGGACTTTGGAGGAGGGAGGCGGGGCCTGTGAGGCTTGGTTGGGCAGGAGCGTTTATGTCGGCGACACTGCTGTCCGCCCTGGCTGTTAGGCTCTCTCAGTCGGCGGCCGCCCGCTCTTACGGCGTCTTCTGCAAGGGGCTGACTCGCACCCTCCTCATTTTCTTCGACTTGGCCTGGAAACTCCGCATCAACTTCCCTTATTTGTATATTGTCGCCTCCATGATGCTCAACGTCAGGCTGCAGGTGACCTTGGGGGGGGGGGTGCTCGACGGCCCTGCCTTTTTCTCAGGGTCTGGGCTATACCACTTCAGAGTGTGGGAGGGAAGGTTTGTCTGGGCTGTACCACCTTCTACTGCAGGTAGTCTGCCTGAGTTTCAGCTGTACCACTTCAGAGTTCAGGAGGTCTGCCTGGGTCAGGGCTGCACCATTTCAGAGTGTGGGAGGGAGGTTTGTCTGGGCTGTACCACTTCCTAGTGCAGGTGGTCTGCCTGGGCTGTACCACTTTAGACTGTGGGAGGTTTGCCTATGTCTGAGCTTTGCTGGATCCAGTTAGGTCTGGGCTATACCAGGTGACCTGCTTGGGTCAGGACTGTGGGACTTTAAAATATGGGGGGGGGTTTTTCCCTTGGTCTGAGGTACACTGGACTACACTGCAGGTGGAGACTTAGACTTGAGAAGGAAGGTCTATTCTCTCCCCACATCCTGCAGATTCTTTTGCTGGTTCCTGGTTGTTTGTAATTCTGAATGAGGTAAGAGCGGGTAGAGTTCTTGTCCCTTGAGAAGCTGTTCAGGAAGAGAGAATGAGACCAGATGGGCATCAGTGGAGAGCTGGGTTCCTGCATTCCTCACTGGTGTGAAGAGGGAATATCACCTATTACTGCATCTTGTTCAAGATTGTCTGTCCATTCCTGTTAAACTGGTTTCCTCACTGTGTATATATGCCTTCAATCTGGCCTTATTGATACTGGATCTTACCTGCTAACTATGCTTGTTCAGCTGCTAAGATATAGGTTTTGTTCTCCTTAGGATCTGAGGTGATGTCAGCTATCTATTTACTCTTGTAACTGTCTTTATGTACTCTTCCCTTCAAGGAGGCTGGGGTGGTATATGTGGTTTCCCCTAGAACAGTGATGGCGAACCTTTTAGAGACCGAGTGCCCAAACTGCGCCCCAAAACCCACTTATTTAACCTGAATACTGAGGTTTTACTTTAGAAAAAACAACTCAAACATTAACTTAAGATGATCCAAACAAAGTAAGGAAAGCAATCCCAGATGCTTTCATTCACTTAAAATTATTTGGCAGAGAATTCGACACTTTAATGATGGTCTGGCCCTGGCTGGGGCAATGGCACGCATGCCCACAGAGAGGGCTCTGAGTGCCACCTCTGGCACCCGTGCCATAGGTTCGCCACCACTGCCCTAGAACAAAGGGTTTTTTTAAATAACTTTTATTTCTGTCAATAACATTTACAAAAGAATACCATCAAACAAAAGAAGCAAACTGAAACAGATCACAAGCCACCCTAGAACAAAGTTTAAGTCCAGTGGCACCTTTAAGACCAATAAAGTCTTATAAGCTTATGGGTATAAGCTTAAACTTTCTTGGTCTTAAATGTGCCACTGAGTTTAAACTTTGTTCTGTTGCTTCAGACCAACACAGCTACTCACCTGAATCTATCCCTGTAAACAGAAAATCAGTACAGCAAGGAACAAGAGGTCGATAGGAGTTCTCTGCTCACATGGAGTCTTTAATATGAGGGGGTATTCAAAACTGGAATGGCGCATTCCATTTTACCACCCCATTCTCTTGTGAGTATGAGTTAGGCTTTGACACACTCCGTGGAGAAGATCACTTCATGTGCTAAAGAGCTCAAAATGCTCTTGCCTTCACAGAATCCAAACTTTGAGATTGCTCTGAGGTGCATCGTGAATGAAAATAACGCTCAAGAGTAAATTCTAATGGTGACCTCATAATTCACACACCAGCATCCTATTGGTTGGAGTGAAGTATTGTTTATGTAATAAGTATTCTGGCATCTGGTTTGCTGGCTGACTACCAGTGCTTTTCATCCCTTAACAAGACCAGAAGAGTGGGTTTCCGCAGTTGGTTTGTAAAAGGACAGATCCTGATGTGCACAAGGACGGAAGGATGCACACCATAAAAGTAAACCTTTCTTGAGTCTTAAAACTTTTCTATGGACTGTCCCTAACATGGGAAGCACTTTAGAACAGTGTTAGGAGGAGCGTAAAGACAGCCCAGGCATTTGTATGATTGGAATAACTGCCTCATTCTACTGGGCTGTGAAGATCAAGTACTTTAAGGGTGGAGCTTTCGGATGTCTTTAAACACTGAGTCATGGAAGAGTTATGTAAGAGGTGAACATTAGGGCTACAGTCTCTGCATAGTTAGTGGATTAACCGCCAGGGACTGTAATTGGTTAATCAGGGGTGGGCTAATTTTAGGCAAGGTGCTCCACTGTCTTAGAACCACTGTTCCATTATTTTTTAGGTTCTTTAGTTTCTAGAGGAAGAAAATAACTTTTTGTTCCAGCAAGCTTTTTGTAGAAAGGTAACTTGCATTTTCTTTGGAAAGACTTGTTTATTCAGTGAAACAGGCATGAGAACGGAGGCGTCAATGCAAGATACTTTCCCTCAGTTGGCTGCTCTTGCAGCAATGAGTGTTGTAACTGTCCTGTGTGGTTTTTTTTTGTCCTAGGTTCATATTGAGATCCACTAAGTCGTGACTTATGCTGCTCCTCCAAAGCGTTCCGACGTACCCTGTGGTTCTGTACAATGCAAAGTTTACAGGAGAGGCATGCCTTGCCAATATCTTGCATGAACTTGGAGAAGGAAGATGACTTGGGGCCTGTGCAGGTACACAGGAAGGCCCTGAGTCAGCAGAATGAGATTCTTCACCTTCCGAGGATCCATTCACTAGGGAACAGTGCCCAGGAGGAAAACGGGAATCTACAACAGGAGCTGTTTTCTCTGAAGATCAGGAACTGTACTCTCTTTAAAGCTGTCCCACTGCCTCACATTGGCAACAAAATGGCACCTTCTCTGAGTGACGCAGGGGGCAGAGCCGGGCCCGCCAAGCAATTTCTGGGGTTGCTCTTCTCCCCGGAAAAGGATGCATTTGAGAAGATGTTTAGTCGCTTTGATAGCACTGCTGTGGCAGGCTGGCAGAGGAAAGCCCATGGTTTTATGAGTGACTTGGGTGCATGGAGCGGCTCTGGGGATAACTTTGTTCAGTTTGCACACTTCTGGCTGTCAGAGCTCCAGCACACTCAGAAGCAGCAGCTGTTGGAACTGGAAATGGGGATTATCGAGGACAAACTCCGCCTTGCGCTTCTTCAGGGATCAGACTCCGGGGAGTTTCAGCCTCTCGATTTTAACACCATCCTGGCTGCGGCGCTGAGCGAATACCCTACAGGACTTGTCAGCAGCCTTAGTCCGTACGTTTTCCTTGACTACCTAAACTTTATGTCTTCGGCTCAAACATCTGGATATAAGAAAATGCTTTCGAGTATACAGTACACGACCAAGAATGCTCAGATAGCTCAGTGGTTGCTAGCCATACGAGCATTTGTTCTTGCAAATCTCTGGCATGCGATAGTGAAGGTAAAGCCACAATAGTTCTGATGTGCTTCCGCTCGTTGTTTGGATATTCCCTGTAAAGTACGTTAAGGCACAGAAAGTACCGTGAAGGAGAATTTCAGTAGGTATTTTAGCATACTTACCTGGGCAACCAAAGTTCAATGCCATTAGAGCTGCGTTCAGGTGTCACTTGTAACCTGCGTTCAGCTAATGTGCACAGATCTGTCCCATTGCTTGGGCTGAGCATTCCCACCTCCCTCCCTCTCTTGTGTGGAGAATCGTGAGAAGAAACTAACTCTGGTGGCCCATGACACAGGAATGCAGGTGTGCAGGTCATCTTGGGGGTGTGGGTTTCCCCCCACAAACTGCAATTTTAAGCCAACTCAGGTTAACCTGCTCACCTTGCCTCACAATTGTTTGGTACGTAGCAGGTAGCCAGCGTTGGCTCTTAGCCATAATTCCTTTGGCACACTTTCTGCAAGGAAGAAGGAGCAAGGGGTATGCACAAGCCCGCCAACAAGCTGGGGGGGGGGCGGGGGTCCGTAGACACATTAGTTCAATCGTGGTGTCTGAACGCAGCCTTGGGCATCACAATTGGAGTGAGCTCTCAATTTTTGTATGATTCCTTGTAAGTGGAGAAGTTTGAATATTTTGAAGTTATTGAATAGTAAGATGTAGAGCTGCAGTGTTCAGTAGAGGAGATGGTCAAGTTAATTACGCAAGTGCCCCCAAACAATCAGGTAGCAGAAGGGTTTTTTTGTTTGTTTTCTTTTTGGGGAAATTTTTTATTTTCAATACAAATGCTTAAACACTAGGTGGCAACCACCAGCATAGAGATGTTCTCCTCCTCTTGGAATGAGGGAATACCCTTTCTAATGTGGGCCCTTGCTGGGAATTATGTATGTTTCATACACATCATCTGTGTTTTTTCCCTCCTTCAGGGCTACTTTTAATTATATGCACATTGGCTTTTTGTTAAGTTTTCTTTTATCAAGTGGCCACTCTTGTTTAGATGTGGGTTGCAGAGCCAGCCTCTTGCTAACACATATTTGTTCCCGTACAAGCCTTAACAGGACATTGCTTGAACATTATACTACTGTGGATTGCTTCACACATTTAATTTTCTACTGAATGTATAAAGGGCAAGGAAATGCAATAATTCCTGGCTCCTGGCACCCTGTCCCACACATGATTGAAAGCATGCATTTGCTGTGAACGTACGTTACATTTTTGGGCATCCATGCAAAGTGTTTCAGCAGTGCCCCTTAAATCACGTCCTGCCAAGCAGCAGCCCCCCGGCTTCTGGCTGGCGTCATACAGTCTCTGTGTTCAAAATGATCTGGCCTTTGCAGAATGTTGGAAGGTTACCCACTGCCATAAAGTTAGCAGTGTGTGTTTTCCATTTCCTACTGTTTCTGATTCCTATGCGTGTCTCTTAAAAGAGACTGCAGGTAACATTTCACAGAGGCAGAGTAGCAACTTTCCGTGTGGCTTTTTCCAGAGGTCTGTGCAAGAAAGTGGCATTTCTCTGAATGCTGTTGTGGCGTCTTTGCAGTTCTGATTCAGTGGCAGAGATCGAGGACTAATGTACGTCTGAGTGCTTTACTTGACATTCCTGAGACCTACTTGGAAGTAAGCATGCCTTTAGATTCAAGGGCTCTGCTGCCCAGTTCTCTGCCAGCCCCCTTGCTAAACTGTGAACTTGACACACATTAGTAGGCTATCCCTGTCTACTCCCAGTTTCTTTAGCACTAGGGAGGGGGGAAAAAGACATATACCTCCTCTCAGTAGTTACCTGTAGGGACAGTTCCAACCTTGCATTTCTGGTACCTTCTGTTCGGAGATATAAGGGACTATCTTAGATGAGACCCACAGTTCTCCTAGCCTGTTCTGATTGGCAGCAGATTGCCAGGGTCTCTTGGGTAGAGGTTTTTTCCCCAAGGTGTGTTGCATTAGATTTTTTTAGAGTGAAGGTTCCCAGAGCTGACTCTGGCCAAATTTGCTGTCTTGCCACTTTTTTGTGTGGTTCATGGCCGGAGCGCAGAATCGAGTAAGAGGCTGCTGGTGAGGCAAGTCTTGGTCCCGCTTGAGAAGGTCTCCATGTGAATCTTGGGCAAGGGGGCATCTCCCCCCCCCCATTGTTTAACTTTTGGAAGTGTAATTTTTATCTGTGCCCGTTCTCTTTTCTTTTTGGAGTCTGAGCCTCTTGGCTGCCAGCGATGTAGCTGATTGCAAAGAGTAACTGTGAGGAAGCCGTTGCACTTTGAGACAGACAAGAACTGCATTTCTGTGCTGTTATGGAATGCTGACTAGTGTTCTCAGTAACTTGTAATTGATGCTGTGAGCAAGAAGACTCTGATATGTTCAGAAACAAATACAAGCAACCCAGTTTTGAGAGGAGTTGTCCCAATGGCTTATTTAAAAACCTCATAATAACCAGAGACATGGGTACTGCTGAAGAATAGTCTCACATGGCCCAAAACATACGAGGGAGGTGGGGTTGAAGCACCTCTGCTTAAAAGGGGACTGAGGTACAAAGATGATTTGTCCCGGATCTCCAGAGATAGAGATGGGATTTGCTGTAAGAGCTGCTCACATCTAACTCATTTTTCAGGGGAAACCGTCTGCATCTTAGTCTTGATGTTTATGGGTCATCTTTTTTTAAAAAAGCCAGAGGGGTTTCTCAATGGATACTTTTGCGTTGCTGTAAACATAGCATTTTGAACTGCCACAATAGCTAAGCGCTAAGGGATTATTGATCTTGGCCAGCATGCAAAGAACTGTGAGGCTCGATCCCTGTGCACAAGGGGAATTGACCCTCCCCCCCCCCCCCCCCGGCCATGTGACAACCCCTTTTTGAAATGAAAAAGACTTCTTTGACAACAGTTTGATGTGGTATCTGGAGTCTGCTCTTGGAAGGGGCTCAGGGAGGTTGTGCATGTCATTCGGGATTTGGGGGGGGTAGAAAATTAAAAAAAAATAGTTCTAAAATAGCTCTTTGAATACTGGCCAAAGTGTGTAATTTTCTAAAGTTTCTAAACATGTGTCTTAAAGAATTTATTTTAATGCACTTGTGTGTTCATGTGAATTGTGTGTGTTTTTGCCTCGCATTTGGCTGATTAAAAAACCTGAAAGGGAATTGAAACATTCCAGCAGAAACCAGAAGGAGGCTTGATTTGGTAAAGTTTTGAACAGTGTGATCCAAAACTCTTTTAAGCTGAATTGAATCACAGTGGAGCCTGATCCTTCAGTGTGTTTACGTTGAAGCACCCCTCCCCAAGTGTATTCAGTGGGGCATTTCAGGTAAACACATGCAGAATTGTGATCTTATTCCGACTCCTAGAGGACTAGCGTCTCAGTGGGGTAAATCGGTTTGTTTCTTTAGAAGTCCCATGTAGTCTAATGAAGCTTACTTCAGAGTATGGATTACAATCTCTAAGGAATGAGATACTTCATCTTGATTGAATTGTGGGTTGGACTGTGAACATCTTTTATATTTCTGCACTTTATGTTTGCGGCCAATCTCCTCTAACACAATTTCTCTTGCACTATTAAAATAATTTAACTGTCAAAGAAAGCTTGTATATGGTGCCGTTCTTTGTCTTTCAGAGGTAGCTAGACTTCATATATTTGCTCAATATGAAATTATCTAAAAGCATCAGAGTTATCAGCTTACTACTCTTTATTGAGTGGCTTCCACCCCAGAAAGAGGATGTAAAAATCTGAAGGAAAGGTTGGTCAAGGCAGTTGGGAGGAATGACTGTTTTCAGTCAATCTCCTTTACTGTTTGGAACTGAGATCTGTAAAGTAGTCTCATAGGGGAGCCCTTGCACTGCAGCAAATTCTGCTGTTCTCAGAACAGGACAGAGGGGGGAGTTGGAGTGTTGTTTCATCTACATAATGCATCTTTGAGGATTTGTTCTACTTTAACAAAGTGATTTTGAAGTACTGGGCTACATTGAGATCTTATATGTGGATGCTGTGATGCATGGTTCATGACCTCTAGATTTCTAGAAGATCTGAAGATATTTTTTTAAAATTGGCAAGAATTCAAATGAAGGTGTAAGATTGACTAAACAATGTCATGCTTTTAAAATTCAGTTCTATAAGGCATTGGTCAATACCCAGATCTCTTCTGAGCAACATGTCAAGAGTTCTGTTTCCAGTGATAAAAAGCATCCCTGTGACGTGGTTAAAGAAAGGTAAGAGAACTTGCATGTTGAGAGAGAGAGAGTGAGGGAAATAATCTTCAGTAGTCTTCGTTTTCCTTCATATTGTGTTTAATTAGAACTGATGCGAAGGCTGCAGGGCTTTAACTGAAGGGACTGTACATGATCTACCAGGTTCCGTAAGTTTCAGATAAACTTCCTGGTGGATAATGACCATTGTCAGACAATGCTTTTATATAATCTTGAACTCTCAGTATGTGCCTGTATTAATTTTTATATGTAATGCCAAAAGCCACAGCATAATGATGATGATGCTCTTACGCTTTAACTCGTCTTCAGTTTATTCCCCTGAAAGCACACGAGGTTTTTTATGAGGGTACGCTTAATTTTGAAATGTAGCCATTGTGCTTTTGGCATTGTGGCAAAGCCCTGCAGAGCTGAAATGTCCACAGTTCAGGTAGAAAATGCATGGGATTGTCTCGGTATTCAGTAGCACTTCCTCAGACATCCCTTTGCTGACTTCAGTGGGACTTATTTTTCAGTATCCATGTGCAGAGGGATCTGCTGTCTTTTAAAAACTAAAATTTTAAGGGGCTTGTTCCATTTGAGAAAGGACACTCTGAAAAATTCTGTCATGTCTCCCCACTGCCACCAACACAGGCTTCCTCTGTGGGTCTTGTGCGCACACTCCGCTGGGTGGGTGAATCCCAGTGTTTTCCTGTTTAAAAAAGAAAAAGGGAATTCATGTCTGATAGAAACATAGGGAATTCATGTCTGGTACTTGTGAGCTGCTAAATTTGAAGATCTGACATGGCCACCTGTTGGGAAAAATGCATTTTATTATAAAATATTTCTGTAACAAATTTGAACTTTTTTAAAGTGGAAGAAGAAAAGTTTATTTTATGTTTTGTACAACTCTGTGCAATTTGTTGAAACTGCTGTTGGAATTACTCCCTTAAGCCACAGGAGGGAGTCAGTGGTCAAATGTTTGAATCCCGATGCTGGGATCTTTCTTTCTTTCTTTTGACACACCTTTTCAGGCTCCTAAGACCCATTTGTAAACGTGCTGAATTAAACAACAAAATGCTTTCTCACCATTGTAATAGCAAATTGGTGTTGTGTGTCCAAATGAAGGCAAAACACTTGTGATCGTTTAACGCTTGAACACAAAATGCTGCTGGATGGTCATATGAAATTGTGTTTCAAAGGAGAAATAAAAGTTTTGTGTTGCAAACCTTGAGCAGCTTGGCTTTTTTCCTGTCTTGTTTCTTAGCTACATTACAAAAGTCTCTCTTGGACCTTTATTACAAAAGATTAAAATAATCTTGGGTCACTTTTGCATAAGGAATATTGGCCACATTGTACCATTCTGTATAACTCCCTCCCGTCTTCCAAAGGAGCAGCAAGATCTGTTGCTGAAATCTAGCTAATACACACTCACCTGGGAAGTATTTGCTTCTGGGTCGAGCATCTTACTTGTTATTATAACCTGCGTCTGTTGAAGGCAGATATTCTTCAAACATTATGCTGCAGTAAATGAATAAGCCTTCAGTACACTGTGGGTCCCCTAATGTTGACGCAACAGGGCTTCTTGAATTGCTGTGAGCAGCTGTGGCTCAAATTGGACAGCCGTCAAACCTGCACCAGCATTTTTCTTTTGATTTATACACAACTGCTGGTTCATGACTAGCTGCGAAGATACCTTGTTTCTGTCATGTTTCTCAGTTAAGATTTCTCTTGGGTTGGGAGATTTCAAGGGACATGTACACCAAGATACAAGTATGTCCCAGTGTTCTTGCATCCAGTACTTGGTTAGATTTAATTCCAGGATAATTCAGATAGCTCCCCCCCCCCCGGATTAGCTATTAGTCACCCATGAAACCTGCCTTAAGATTGTATACGCAGGCGTAGTTACCACCCCCAGATTGTTACTCTGTCCTCACACAAACTTGCATCATACATCCCATTGGGAGCAAAAAGCTGATGCTTTGCTGTGGAAAAAATACAAAGTGGAACAGTGCCAGGTTGATGGGAAGAATCCAAACTCCCACAGAAGGGGAAGTTTTCCTCCCCTTGTCAATGATGAGGAATGTCCCATGTGTCCATAGGGATTCTCTGTTGTGTACGCGTAGGATTTCTCGGGGTAGGGAAGGAATGTGTGCATGCATCAGGGCTATAGGAAGTGTGCCACGTTCAGTGCAAAAAGCGCGGCTTTTTTGGGCTGACTGTATGAAGCTTCCTTATACTGAATCCAGATTGCTGATTCATCTGTCTAAGCTGGCAGAGGGTGACTCTCCGTTTTCAGGAAGAGAACTGTCTTTCTCAACCCCTGTTTGCCAAGGTCCTTGTACTTTGAACCTGAAACATGGTCGAATGATATGAAGTAATTGTTATTGTAAGTTGATAATAGAAGTCTCCTTTTCTTTATTCTCTTTCTTACCGCTCCAATAGTTCAGATTGCTTCCTAATGTTTCTATTAAGTTTACGCCAAGTCTGTTATCTTTCTACTGAAAACATATTCGGAAGTGTGATGAGTAATGTATTGTAATTCTTTGAACATGTTATAACGTTGTACATACTCAGGAACTATTTACAGGATGTGAATGTAATTGGAAGATTAATTGTTCACTGTTTGAAGTGTTAGAATTGTTAAAAATTGAAAAAAATAAAAAAAACATTAAAAAAAAACATCTCATGTGGGAAGCAGGCACCCTGCCTTTGCATGGCTGCCCCACTTTGGTAGAACTGCACTTAGAATGCTTCCCTCCTGTCATGTGTAACAGCCTTGGGAAGATGTGCACAAAAAGCTTTTAGTCCACAAGCAGAGAAGTTAATAGAAAAACCTACTATTCTGCAAGCGTTTGGGGTCACCTACCTTACCGGTACTTTCACATATTAATAGTTTGGCAAACATTGGGTGAGTTGAAAAAGAAATAAAGAGAACAAAGTCCCTTCTAAGGTAGAAAAAGCATTCTTGCTTGGTCGCCAGGGGGCTAGTCAGACTCACCACAGGAGACTAGGCAAATGGCTGTCTACAAACCACAGTCTATAATAGCAAAGCAATAATTGATTCTGAAACTGCCTTTTCTTGTCAGTAGTTCCATTTAAAATGAATGAGACCATTATACCTCCCATCCCTTTGGCAGCTTCAATTCTACCTGTTGTCGAGCAGAACTATATAAATACCACTGTTCTAAAGTAGGTTGTTGGATTAAATTGGCTTTATGTGTTTTGTCAACTGGAAAAGGAGGTGAAAAGGATGCTATTCTTTGCTAATAGCAAGTTGTTGAAATATTTTTAGAAAAGAGATGCAATATAGAGGGAAAGTTCTGATTTCTGTTGCTAGAGATCTTATCTCATTAGGTGCTTTTAAATATTTATTCTTTCAACAACTTTATTTGCTGCCTGACAAAGGCACTGATATAGACCAACCCTGTAGCTGGGAAAAGATTGGGGAACCATGTCAGGTATCACGTTCAACAAGTATGGAGTTGCACTACTGGCATAGATGCCCTGGTTTCTTGTTTCCATTTCTCATGTAGAAGCCACCTTAGTGCAGTTTCCCTGGAGAGGCAGCATGGAGATTTTCTAAATGAATTAATCAAAGCCCAGATTTGGACACACATGCATTTATTTTCTCTTGCCGTTTACTGTTTATTCCTACTCCTCCCCTGAAAACAATCACCCTTTCTCCGTACCTCTATAGAACAAAATCTGAGTCCAGTGGCCCCTTTAAGACCAGCAAGCTTAATTCTGGGTATAAACTTTCATGTGAAAGATACTGAAGAAGTATCTGAGGAAGTGTGCCTGCACACAAAAGCTTATACCCAAACTTAACATTTGTTGGTCTTAAAGGTGCCCCACTGGACTCAAATTTGTTCTGTTGCTTCAAGCACTCACCTCCGTGTTAAGCTGTTAACTGGGGTTGGCCAGATCTATCAGACATGCCAGTTTTGGTGAGACTTTAAGTTTCTTTTGCTGTTTGTTTATCTTACCTTTTGGGGGGAGGGTATAATACAGACCTTTCCTATTCATATGATATTATAAAAGTTTTAAGGGAAAAAATATATATTTAAACGTAACTAGCATCAACACTTCTGGAAGGCAGTTGGAATTGCATGGCTTTGGACCGACGGAGTGGAGGTTTTTTGGCTCTAGGAAGACAAATATTTCCTCAGTCTCTATCTAGAGAGATGTTTTGGGGTTTACACCAGAACTTGTGTACACCCTATTGTGTATTTCACTTTTTGATTTAGCTTTATTTCTGTATACTCTTTATAGGTAAGGTAAAATGTGCCATCGCCCTGACCTGGATAGCACAAGGTAGCCTGGTCCTATCAGATCTCGGAAGCAGAACAGAGTCAGCCCTGGTTAGTCCTTGGACGGGGGGACCACCAAGGAAGTCCAGGGTCGCCATGCAGAGGCAGGCAATGGCAGACCACCTCTGGAATGTCTCTTGCCTTGAAAACCCGATGGGGCCACCATAAATCAGCTGCGACTTGATGGCACTTCCCCACCACCACCAAAATGTGCCATCGAGTCATAACCCACTCATGGTGACCCCGTGAAGTTCCACTTCATGGGGTTGTCAAGGCAAGAGGTGAGCAGAGCTGGTTGGCCGTCACCTCCCCCTGCATAGCCACCCCAGTCTTCCTTGGCGGTCTCCCATCCAACCACCAACCCTGCATAGTTTCTAAGCTCTGATGAGATTGGGTTAGTATTGGGCTATCAAGGCTGCTACATATATATCCTTCTAAGCCCACTGACTTCAGTGGACTGCAATTAGCCAATGTGAGGTTTCTAGGAGGTCTCCTGTGCAGGCACGGACCACGCCCAGGTTTTCTGGCTTGCAGCAAGGTTGCTGAATGATTCCCCTGCCAACTCCGTGTGGGACTCTGGACAGCCGCATCACAAACTGCTGCTAGAACGTGCTTGCAGGAGGAGTGGCTGGGGTGGGGCGGGGGACCCTTCTTTCACAAGCACAAGTTGAAAGCATTTTTGCATGCTTGGCATGAATTTGCACAATTCTTTGGGTACTGGCTATTGTTTGGGGGAAATAACCCCTGCCTGTTAGTCTGGCAAACACAAATCAATAGAGTTTAACCTTTGCATTCGAGCGGCTTTAACCTAATGTATTTTACTCCCCCCCTTCCCCTTCTCAGAGCTCTGCAGAGCGTTCAGTTGGGATACACAGATGTCTTGGATTATCTTGTTAGAAACCAGAAGCTGGATCTTGGAGTCGTCGATGAAAAGAACCGAAATCTGTTATTTTTAGCGGCGGTGTATGATCAGTCTAAGATTCTGGATTATTTCCTTGAAATGGTCAGTTGCACTGAAGATCTGCTACCTTTAGTCTTTAGATTTTCAAAAGTTTCATCTAAATTTAGAAAATGTCAAAGGTATTAAAGTAATGGAGTCAGTTTTTTAGGTTTCGTCTGCCACCTTAAGAACATAAGAATGTAAGAGAAGCTGATGGCCCATCCAGTCCAACACTCTGTCACACAGTGGCCAAAAATACCAGGTGCCATCAGGAGGTCCAGCAGTGGGGTCAGGACACTAGAAACCCTCCCATTCTTGCCCCTCCCCAGCACCAAGAGTACAGAGCATCACTTACCCCGGACCAAGAGTTCCTATCTTTACCTTGTGGCTAATAGCCACTGATGGACCTTATACTTCTAAACAGAGGTGAAAGTAATTTGAACTTTCCTACCAGTACTTGGGGGGGGGGCTCACAATAGAGAATGAAAGGCGCTACTTTGTCTGCTTTCTTACTTGCACTGTGTACCAGCTTGTTTTCTTCCATGCTTCCAAATTTATGTTTGTTTAAATAAAAAAATAAGGAACTGAAATCAGTGCATGTGGGTTTTCTCCCTGCCCCTGTGAGTGAGTTTAGCGCAGCTAAAGAAGGAGTTTGAGGGTCGGCATGGCGCGGCGACGGGCGGTCTTCAGCTCGAGCTGAGGACGCCCGATCCTTCCTGCTTCGTGTGGGGGCTCCCGGACTGCGAGGGCAACCAGCCAGCTCTCCCGGAGAGAGAGCTGGAGCAGGGGGCTCGATTGTGGCCCCTCCTGGTGATTTGCAATGGGGTGTGTGTCCACTTTTCGCCCCGAAGCAGGAGCGGGCAACGGAGAGGAACATGGCCGCCATGTTCCCTATAGCCGCCGCCTCCCTTTTTTACCTAAAGATTCGAGGGGTTTGGATTACAATAGCAGCAACAGGAAAATAAAAGGAACTGTGAGTACATGCATCTTTAAGCTAATAAATATAAATAGATACTCCGAAAGAAGAAGAAAGCGGCCAGAAAATTGAGAAAGAAGGAGTGTGCATATAGGTGGGGTAATAAGGACTGTTTTCTTCAGCTAGTCTCTTGTCCCACTCTCTCAGCTGCTCAATAGATGAGACGGAATTGGTGAAAGTATACAAAACGAAAAATGGCACATATAAAGGACGAATTAGACGAGGACTCTTTAATAGTAGAGATGTCGGTAGAACAATTCTTACAAATTTTGAAGGAGGGAATAGAGGAAGGCATCAAACAAGCGTTTGCAAGTCTTCATGGTTCCCGACCGGAAAGTGAGAGCAGAGACGAAACGGAACATAGTAAGCAGTGTTTGGGAGAGGCTTCTATGTGTCTGCAAGAAAAAGAAATTAAGGAGACTAAAAAAGGGAATAAAAAGACATACAAAAGGAGGTGTCCGAAGAGGGAGGCAATAAAAAGGAAAATATTGCGAGACTCTGCAGAAAGGAAGAAAAATGGGAGAAGGAAGAGACAGGAAAGGATTGTTTGGAAGGTAAAAAAGAACAATTCGAGATGGAAACATGAACTGTGGAAACCTTGTGAGAAGAAATTAAAAAGGACATACCACCTATACAAAGGGAGAAAACATCTGGATATGGTGTTACTGAAGAAGAAGCGGCAGAGTTATAAAAGATGCTTTAAAGTATACGAAAATTTGCGTTGTATGTGATTTTTGGTCTTTGCTGGAAATGAATTGAAGTGATATGATTAAAGGGGAAAATGTAAGGTACTGATATGACTAGAGGGCCACTAAAGTATGAGTTTGTTGGGTGATAAATTAATGCGGTAGGGATTTAGTTTTTGTTCTCATGGGAGTGTTTGTTTAGTGTATATGTTTTTTGTGTCCTGTTGGAAATGAACTGAATTGATATGATTAAGGGGTAAAACGGGAGGAACTGATATGACTGGTAGCTGGATATGAGATTGTTGTAAATTAATTTGGCAGGGTATTAGAAATTTTTGCTCTTAGGGGTGTGGGTTTTTTTTCTTTTTTTACTTTCCCCTTTTTGTTTTGAAAATGGTAAAATTGGTATGAATATTAAGGGATGAACTAGAAATTTATAAATGTATGTTAAAGTACTATGTGTTATGAAGGGTGTGAGTGTGTTTTCAAATGGAGTGAGAAAGAAATGAAATTAGTATGAAAGGAAAGGTTGTTTTGGGTATGTCTTATTAATGGTGTCTATAAATTGGGAAATGTGTGACAAGTTGATGTGAATGGATTGTAGTATGTAGGTTCTTTTTTGGTGTTTGTTTTCTCCTTTTTTTTCTCCTTTGGGAAGTAATAATACCAATATGATTTGAGGGATATTAAGGTATAAACTATAGCCTCAAAATGTATGATTATGAAAGGGCTTTGATTTGTGTGTCCCTCTAGGCGTTGAATCCTGGAAATAGGATGGCTATTTGCTATTAAGGTGTGGAAATAGTTGTAAATGAAGAAATGGAAAGTTGTACTATTCTCTCAAGTTAAAATTAGCTAAAAGACGATCCTGGCTAGAGCAGCTGGGGGGTAAACAAGGAAAATAAGGAAATAGTAATAAAAATTGGAAAAAATATGTAAATAAGTAAAACAAAATAAAAATGTTAAAGTAAGATGAAAAGATAAAAATGGAAGAAATACTGCAACATATACTTTTGGTATTGTCTGTTGAGAGAGCAAGGTTGATAAGGAAGAACAGTCAGTTTAATATTTATAGAGATTATAGATTTAAAGAATGTATTAATGGATGTATGTAATCACTATTGAAGGGGGTGTACAAGATGAGAGGTTGAAAAAGGAGAGTAATGATAAGTACTGATACTGTTGCTGTTGAGTATTGGTTGTATGTTATATAAGGTGTTAATGGGATGAAATGAGTAAGAGTAAATTATTACTGTAAGGTGCATTATTGTGAAAATCCAATAAAAATATTTCAAAAAAAAAAAGAAAAAAAGGAGGAGCTTGAAAGTCTCCCTTTTCCAAGTCCATTTGGAGGTGTTCTGTCTGCTGTATCACGTCGACTGGATCTGCTCTCTGACTATTAAGTTAGGTGACTCTTATAGTAATTAACAAGGCGTCATTATTCTGAGTGTCACTTGCTCCAAATAAGCTGTCTTGCTTAAGCTAGTTTTAGGGTATTGAATTCAATTAATGTAATTAAAGGGACCCTCTTTAAGCACTGGAGCGCTCAGGATCCAGGAATGTCAGTTCAGAGTTGGTGGGGCGGGGGCACTGTTCGGCCGTTGTGTGGGTGGGTGGGGAGCCCGCCTGTAGGCCACACCTGAGGTCTAATTGCATGGGACCATCAATGGAGGGGTGGGGGAATGCTGCCTAAGTGATGCCAGGGAGCTGGGTGCCCCCTCTACAAGAGTACCCCTCTCTACTGTGGCACCTGCCTGTCTTCCTTCCTTTTGTGCCAGTGTATCCCCATCCCTTCTCACTCCAGAAATCCATACTTAATTGTTGTGAACAGTGCTGCCAATACGCATGGTGTTTGATAGTGCAGGAAGATGGATCCTAGCTTATAAAATGGGCGGAAGAGAACGGGATGGAGGTGAGGGGAAACCATGCATTAATTTTGGTTACGGATGCTTAGGCTTATAGCCCAGCTTTTATGTGGCAAAAGGGCCCCCCATGGGTACCGGTTTTCCTGACAGCTGGCTCCAAGCTGAGTACCGGGTCAAGTTCAAGGTTTTCATCTTGACCTATAAGGCCCTAAACGGTCAGGGACCAACGTACCTATGGGATCGCCTCTCCTGGGTATGTCCCTCAGAGAGCATTACGCTCAAGAGACCAACACCTGCTGGAAGTCCCTGGCCCAAAAAATGTCCATCTGTCCTCAACCAGAGCCGTGGCCTTCTCAGCCCTGGCTCCCTCTTGGTGGAACTCTGTGCTTTCCAGCATCGGGGCCCTGCAGGATCTGTTACAATTCCACAGGGCCTGCAAGGCAGAGATGTTCCGCCAAGCATATGGCTGAGGACAGCGACAGGTTTTTAATGGTCTTTAATGGTTCTTAGCTATTTTAACAGGGACGGCAAAGGATGAGATGGTTAGACAGTGTCATAGATGCAATGAACATGAAGTTGAGCAAACTTCAGAGGATGGCGGAAGACCGGAAGGCCTGGCGTGATCTGGTCCATGGGGTCGCGAAGAGTCGGACTCGACTGTGCGACTGAACAACAACAAAGTGATTCCCTCAGGCTGATGTAAATTGAGGGGGTTAGGCATTTATAGTACGGTGCCAATGCAGATGTTTGGTTTTATGGATTTGGGAGTTTAGATTGTGTATTATATTTATATGTATTTTTATGTATTTCCTTGCACACCGCCCTGAGACCGCTTGTGGGGAGAGCGGCATAGAACCCTAATGAAATAAATAAATAAATACATACATACATACATACATGTGGAATTTAGCTGGCCCAGTTCTGAAGTTTCTATACTCCAATTACCTCTCCAGCTTTATCCCTCCCCCACCCCTGGTATGGTTCATAAAGCTGGAGAAGTAAAAATCCGTATCGGGGTGTGGCAACTGGAGATCCAGGACAACTGAATAAATTCCACATTTCCCATAGTAGAAAAACTGCTGCCTGTTTCACCACATTGTGGTGGGCAGAGTGGGATTGTGTTAGCCCCGGCCCTGAGTGCAAATTCCAACCTTCCAGCTTGCAAAAACAGGAAGAAGGATGTGGCGTTGAGTCGCAGCCAACCCATGATGGCCATCCCATTTCTGGGGTGTTTCAGGCAAGTGAGAAGCGGAGCTGGGTTTGCCGTTGCTTTGCCTCTATTTGGGTCTGTCCCCCCTTTCCACATGTGTTTTGCTCCCTCTGGGACTACTAGAGAGAGCAAAACACATTGCGGGGGGAGACGGGGGCCCTGATGCAACAGGAATACACAAGTGATGGAAATCAGAATGCAGAAGAGCCCCCTGCTTAGCTCCCATGGGCTGTCCAAGCTGCTCAGGGGGTCCACTGCTCAAAGGGGTGAAGCGTAATTTTATCACATTTCACACAGGCAGGGGATGAGATGACCATCCAGTGGCAATGATCTGGACTGCGCCACTTCAGACTGCTGTTGGGGGGGGGGCAGACCTGATATTTTTGAGTGCTTGCCTATGCTTAAAACAAAAGAAGAGCCTCCCTGCAAATGGGTAATAAGTACACGAAGCAAAGTGGTGGGGGGTAAGAACGATCTTTCCTGGACATGCTTGTTTTCTGTTTACATGGAGATTTTTTTTTTCTTTTGGCAAAGCTGTCTACCAGGAGAAATCTACTCCCTTGCGTCTCGAGTGATCCAATCCATTCTGCCGCCTCCTCTCGCATGTGCCAGCCAGGCATTTTCGGTCTGGGAAAGGCACGAGGGAGTTCCTCTGGAGCTCTCCTTCCTTTCATCTTGCTCTGAGAATCTTCTGCCTCTATTATGCATGGAGGGTGGTAATTATAGGGTCACTCCATCCTTTTGGCACATGGGTCATTTTCCCAGGTATCAGTCTGTAAGAAGGAAGAGATGAGTGGGGAGGGGAGGAGGAGGAGAGTTTAGCAACTCCAGCATAGCCCTGTGCTGGATTGCATCCCAGCCGTCTCTGGAGGGTGCTGACTGCCACGGGTCTTTCCCTGTGCTCCGCATCTCTTGTGCACACGCTCTGTGTTTGCAAATACGTGCGTGTCATGTTCCACACTTTGCATTTTTGGTGTGCACCTAAAAATATAATATGTGAGGCAACCCTTAAGGGCATGTGTGTGTCTAGTTAAGAAAACATTATGGAAACTTTACAGAGAGCTTCATTATTAGTCCGTAGCGGAGGGAGTCTGCGTGCCCGAGGAACTACTGTTCAATTCCTCTTGGAGTTTTAATTATCTTTAATGCAAGCAGACTGATTTCAGCTCGATCAGTTCGAGGACACATTTGAATCTCTGCTCCTCCCTGTCAAACCCGGCAGCGTGGCAAGGAAAAAGCAGGTGTTTTTTCTTTGGGAGGCGTGAGTTACAGGAACGTGAACTCGGTAAACAGCACTTCGCTTATGAATCCTTGTAAAAGGGCTTGTAGCAGCGGAATGGAAACAGGACTTTCAGTGCAGTGGGCAGCAGTGTTCCCTCTAAGCTGTGGAGTCTTGTGAGCAAAAATTCTACTTTGTGAGCTGCTGGCATTAAAGTTGTGAGTGAGCAATTTGACTACTGCATAAATTAGTGTTTTCTGGAGCCATCCTTCCTGAGCTAAAACAAAAATGTGAGCCAGAGGCTAAAAAACTGTGAGCTAGCTCACACTAACTCAGCTTAGAGGGAACACTGCAGGCTTCCTTATGTGGACATCTGCTGATCATCAAGAGATCGTCTTGATTGGAATGTAGAACAAAGCTACACCCAGAATAAAACTTTGTTGGTCTTAAAGGTGCCACTGGACTCAAACTATGTTCTGCTGCTTCAAACCAACACAAACCAAGCAATAGGGACCTCAAGCGTATGAAATGTACAGAGATGCAAGGGTAGACCATTAAAGCATTCACAGATTTCACAAGTTACCATTAGACTATTGCAATATAATTACAGTAAAGCAATTAATAGAGTAGAATTAGTGGCCACAATTCCAAAACACTAGTAACAATTCAAATAGAAGATAAAATTTGGTATAACAATTCAACAGTGAAGAAAGAATCCAACAGGCGACTCCTCTATATCCGTTCAGTATAATAGTGTCCTAAAGACCTCAAAGTCCACAAAAAAAGGCAGAGGATGTCCCCAAGATAAATCTGCAGCCAAAAACATCCTTCCTAGGTATGCCAGACATTTCAAAGCATTCTTCTTCAGTTGTACAGCTTAAAAGTGGAACCTGATTTCCACAATAATCTAGGCACAGCTCATGTCTCAAATGGAATCTGTGGTTCAAACCAACACGGTCGCCCACCTGGATCTGTCTTGATTGGGATGTGTGATTATTTTGGTAACAGCAGTATCGACTGCTTCAGAGAGGTTGTACGGGCTCTCCCACCAAACCCTGCCTCCGTGGCTTTAGGGTCCAAAGTGCACTTGGGATGTGTGTGAAGGGGGTTGGCACTGAGCTTGGGCCTGTGACACTGGGGAAGAGGGGGTTTGAAACCGGTTTTCCTCTGGTGCCGGTTCCCTGCGGGGAATCCCTCTCTCTCTTAGCCGTGGAGGGCAGGTTTTAAAAAGCATTCTTATTAGACCTTTTTCTGCTGCCCTTTCCCCCTAGCATGGCCATTATAGTTTCCACTTCTGAAGAGCTAGACTTGAATCCAGCTCTTTGGCTGCGGACCAACACAGCTGCCCTCTGAAGGTATCCCCTCTCAAAGCCAGTGCCCTGATCCAAATCCTTCCTCTACCCCTTCCCCCTTTACAGTGCTGTTCTTTAAGACTGAAGAAAATGTACAGTGTCATTCAGTCCCTTAGCCTGGATTTTTGGGTTTCCGCTTCGGTCTTGGTGTTAACTTTGTGTGTGTGGGGGGGGGGCTCCCTTTGTGGAGCGGCGTTCCTTCCTGAAACCAGGACTTATGTTTCATCCATGTCTTGCCTTACTGTTTTTGAGTTCCGTGAGAAAGTTCATAGGGCTCCCAGGCAGCATCCTGACCAGGCAATCCCCACTTTAAGCTTTGCACGGTTTATGTCCTGGGCTCTGTAAGAGAGAACGGATCCACAGGGAATCCGCCTTTCCTCTTAAATAAGAAACCCATCTGAGTAAAGCGAATCATTCTATGGGACTGGGGTTTCCCATCCTTTGTTACTGTGGAGGACCTCTTCCTCTCATTGTCAGACAGGACACATTCCTGGTATCCCGGAGAACTGCAGGAAGAAGCCCTCTGGGGGATAGGAGTGTTCTTCGTCTGTGCCTGTATCAGTAGGGAAGAGGGCACTGGCCTCCTAGCTAGGCAGGGGGCATCTTTTCCTGGAAAAGCTGGAATTTCCGCATACTGATTTATAATCATATATTACAGCCAAGGCCATGGCTCCGGAGCAGACGGATTGGTTTGTACCCAGAAGGTCCCCAGTTCACTCTCTGGTCCCTCCTGGTAAAAGTTCTCAGGGAACAGGTGCCAGGAACGACCTTTCTCTGCTGGAGACCCTGGAGGCCCTACTGCCTTTCAGAATAGGCTCTACTTGCTCTGTTACTACCTGTTGTTTTGTATGTAATTTGCAATAAGTATAAATGAAAACAACACCTGTATTATTGAACCAGGTGGACCAATAGCCCAAGGCAGCATCATATATTCCAGTTACCTTATACCAACTCAGGCTAGCAGTGTGTAGCCCGAGATTCGTTACTCTCTCTGGCAGTGCTTCCTCAGGATCTCAAGAAGAGACCTTTCCTGATCTTAAGAACATAAGAACTCTGCTGGCACCGACCAGTGGTTCTTCCAGTCCAGCATCCTGTCTCACACAGCAGCCAGCCAGTTCCTCTGCATGGCCAACAACAGGGCATAGAGGCCGAGGCCTTCCCCTGACATTGCCTCCTGGCCCTGCCTCTGAACATGGAGGTTCCCTTTAGTCACCATGGCTAGTAGCCACTGATAGACCTCTACTCCATGAATCTGTCTTAATCTCCTTTTAAAGCCAGTGGCCATCACTACATCCTCTGGCAGCAAATTCCACATTTCAATCACTTTGCTGTGTAAAGAGAGGTTCCTTCTTGCTCCTGTGGTTCTTTAGCTCAAGATGTGAGGATCCAGTTGTAGGACATGATGTGTGCTAAGCATGAGCTCTGTCCACTGAGCATTCCTGGAGAATTTTTTAAAAATGTGTTAGGATAGCATACAGGGAGTTGCTGTTGTCAGGTAAAATAAAACCACATCTCTGTGTATGTGTGTGTGTGTTTGTGTATGGTATTCTCACAGGCTAGTGTTTTTCTTTTAGACTCTTCCCATACCCGATGTAAACCAAGCAGCAGAAAATGGGAACACGCCACTTCATGCTGCAGTGAACACTGGGAAAATGCACCTCGTCTCACTGCTCTTGCATTACCCTGGAATCAACGTGAACACCCCCAACCCACAGTGTGACGGAGCCACTCCACTGCACCTTGCTATCGTTTATGGTAAAAAAACCACTTTTTCAGTTGTGGGATGGTCCTGCATTTAAAATCAGTGCCGTAGTTGTGTAGTGACAGAAGCAAATTACCCGCCTGGGGCTTTGAGATGCTTTTGGTGAAAGGCGAGTTTATAAATATTCTAAACAAAATAGGGATTGGTTCCTTAAGCAAGCTATGGTGGTATTAACTTTTATTTTGGGCTTTTCTGGATTTCAGGAGGCCTTGAAATGTAATGAGCTGTGTGACCTAATCTGTACTGATTATTACCGTACATTTTTATCGCATCCTTCCTCAAAGAAGCTCAGGGCAGCATACTGAAGATCTCCTATGCAGAGTTACTGATGTGCATTGATTTCAATGGGCTTAGACTGAAGAATAGATAATGCTGCGCTACATAAACTAATAGTCTGGCTTGACGTTCTACATCTTTATATAATTGCAAGAAAATATTTTTTCTCTTTCGTCAATACACATTTCTCTCTCTCTCTCTCTCTCTGTGGTTTTATTTCACTTTGTTTAGGGCAGCTGGGAATTTGCTACTTATTGCTGAACGCAGCAGCTGATGTAGAAAGTCTGGTTGGAGGGCTGTCACCTTTGCAGCTCGCGGAAACGTTTGGCAACGAGGCGATCGTTGGCCTTCTCAAAATGCACGTCAAGCGGTTTAAGCTTGAAAGTAAAATGCTGGGCTTATCAGCTTTAGAATTCTAAACAGAAATTGTCTCCTCTTTTTTTTTACATTAAACCCTTTTAAGAAACAAAACATGTGACATTGTGCTGCTTTTATTGGTATTATTTTCCAGTACGTCTGATCTAGTTTATAAGCTGCACCTTTAGTGCGTGAAAACCTGAGGCGATTTCCTCCAATTGTTGTCCTGTTTTTGGTTTGTTTTTCAAACCACAGCTGTGTGGTTCATAGTCCTCTCCCTCGTCTATCCATAACTCTTCCAGTACCTACTGAAGCAGATGTTGGGTCGAATGGGGGAGTGGGAAATCCCATCACTTGGCTTTTTGTTTCATTTTTAACCATCGGTTTCTCAACCCTTAGATTCACATTGTGTTCCTTGATGAAAAGCTGGGGGGTATAATTTGGTCACTTAAACCATTGCCATGGTCGTGGTATGGAGCTGCGGTGGCTCAAGTGGTTAAGACGCTGAACTGCAGGCTGTGGAAGGTCATTAGTTCAGCAGTTCGAGACCCGGGTGCCGCATGATGGAGTGAGCTCCCATCTCTAGTTCCAGCTCCTGCCAACCTAGCAGTTCGAAAGCAAGAAATTGCAAGAAGATAAATAGGTACCACTTCGGTGGGAAGGTAACAGTGTTCCGTGCGCGTTGGTGTTTAGTCATGCCGGCCACATGACCACGGAAACGTCTTCGGACAGCGCTGGCTCTTCGACTTTGAAACGGAGATGAGCACCGCAACCCTAGAGTCGGATTCGACTGGCTTTCGAGCAAGGGAACCTTTACCTTTACCTTACATGGTCGTGGTAGTAGTTAGGAATGCCAGGTAGGATCTGGAGTTCTCCCAGATTGACAACCGATGTCTAGACTACAGGGATCAGTTTCTCCCGTAGAAAATGGCCGCTTGGGAGGGTGGGACTATCACATCCCCCCTGAGCTCCTTCTCCTTCCCTAAATCTCCAGGAATTTCCCAACTGAGAGCTGGCTACCCTAGTAGCAGAGGTATTACTGCTATCACTTTCAGCGTCCAGAGCTTTCATATGGAAATTGTCGTGACTGTAGTTCCCCCTCTACGAGGCTGCGGCATCATCTGTAAACTTTTGCCATTAGATGGTTTGGACTGTATTAAATGTTGCTGGTTTTTTTTAAAGGCATTTTTCTATTTTAATCCTGGAAATATTTAGCTGTGGTTCTTGAATTGTACTGGGATTTTATCGTGTTGTACGCCGCCCTGAGCCCTGTCTTTCAGGAGAGGGCAGCCTAAAAAAATCTAGTTTAATAAATAATAATAATACAGCAGCCCCCCTATAAAGCAGGCCAGTGTTATTACTGCCGTATCGCAAATGAGGTTTCTGCGGCTGGGAGCGAGTAGCATGCCACAGGCCGCCGATTGGCAGAGGCAAGACCGAAACCAGGGGCCGTCTGGACCACAGCTGATCTCTGGGACCCTAGCCAGCATTGTCCACACCCTGCTGGCATGTTTGACATGTTGAGCAAGAGACATGGGTGTGGATCAAACTCGGTGTGCCAGGAGGTTCCAATCTGAGCGCCATTCTCCAATGGAAGCCTTTGCTTCTGAATGGGCACTTCCTGCAGATGCATAACTGATGCCCCTTGGGATTTTCTGAAGGACCTCTGCACGAAAGAGGTGGATCAAAGTTTGGAATGGCTGTTTGCTTTGGGGAGTAGATGCTGTTTAGTTTCCACCTCCAAAGAAAAGGAGATGATTTGCTCCTCTGTATGGCCACAGGGAGAGATTATGGAACCCAGAGGCATGACAGAGCCTGTGACCAAACCAAGAGTGTGCAGCTGTGATCTGCCTACTTGGGGTGTAGTGGTTAGGAGCGCGGACTCTAATCTGGGAGAACCGGGTTTGATTCCCCAGTCCTCCACATGAAGCCAGCTGGGTGACCTTGGGCAAGCCACAGTTCCCTCAGAGCTCTCAAGAGCAGTTCTCGAAGAGCTCTCTCAGCCCCATCTACCTCACAGGATGTCTGTTGTGGGGAGGGGAGGGGAAAGGAGATTGTAAGCCACTCTGAGTCTCCTTCGGGTAGTGAAGGACGGGGTATAAATCCAATCTCCTCCTCCTCCTCTTCCTCCTCTTTGTTGGAACTGGGAGAAGGAAAAAGCAGAGATCTCAACATGTCCCTGTCAAACTTTATGATCCCTCAGCTGGTTTTGGAATATGTGAAAACATTGATAAATGTCGAAACATAGCTATGGCGGGGGTTTGACAGGAATGGGTCCAGCTCTCAGCATCCTTGCAAATTTAAACAGCATGCAAGTAATGCAGTTTGAATAGCACTGCCGGGGATAGCGTGGCTCTCAAGCTGCAACTGGTGGGTAATATGTTAATATTGTTCTATCCTTCCATAGTTGTTAACCTCAACGAGTAGTGAGTCATTCGTCCAAAAACCACGCGACTGGATTTATAAGCCAAGGGACCTGGGAAAGAGGGGGAATATCTTTCGTCCTCCGCTTTCCTAATCTTTCTGTTATATTTTGGCAAGCATCTTCAACATTTATTAAACATGGATGCGCGCAGTTCTCTTTTTTCTGCTGTCGTGTTTACTAATCAGACTGGGCTCCAGGACAGCTGAAGCCATAATAAAACATGGAAAGCCATAATAAAAATACAATCCATGTTAAAAAAAATAGAATAATAGCATTTTAAACTGCTCCGTCCCCCAAATTAAAACCAGCATCTGAACAGCAGAAATTAAACAAGCAGGATGAAGAGAGAAGAGACGAGATTGGATTCATACCCCGCCCTTCACTTGGAGTCTCAGAGCGGCCTTTCCCTTCCCCACAGCAGACACCCTGTGAGGTAGGTGGGGCTGAGAGAGCTCTGAGAGAGCTGCCCTTTCAAGGACAGCTCGTGTCAGAACTAAGGCTTGCCCAAGGTCTAGCCAGCAGCTGCAAGTGGAGGAGTGAGGAATCAAATCCGGTTCTCCCAGATTAGAGTCTGCACACTTAATCACTACACCAAACTGAATAGCCAATCAACCAGCCAGAAGGAGGGGAAGGAATGAAAAAAGCCTGGAAGAATAAGGAGGTCTCCACCTGGTGCTGGAAAAAAAACAAATTCAGTACCAGGTGATCATCCAGGGGAGAAGCTATTCCAAAGCTGGGGTCCCACCACTGAAAAAGGCCTGCCCACCTCTCCTTCAAGGAGGGAGACAGAGCACGTTCTCAGGTGGTGGTTTCAGGGGACAGGACAGGCAGTAGTCATATTCATGCCCAAGAGCTTCTGGGATTGTGGGCTCGGTGGAGCCTAAAGTACTGCACATTCATGACAATCTTTTGACATATTATATACAGCAAGTCTTCTGAACATTCAGACATCCGTAAATGATGTTCACAGAGTCCTGAGTACCAGGGGTCATTTCGCAGAAAAAGAGGTGCAGGAGCTCATTAGCATAACTTATTAGCATAACTTATTTGCATATGCCACACACCCTGACATCACTGGAAGTGTGTCAGAAGGCAACACCCACAGCTCAGGCTCCACTGGATTGTTTTGGATTGCTAGCTATTGGGGGGGGGACGTGCAGATCCACCCTCACAGAGGAGGGAGAGCCGGCGTGGGGGCTCTGCAACATACCTGGCTGCTTCTTGCTCTTCGTGGCCTGACTGAGGGCTTCTGGGAGCAGGGGGTGGGGCTTGTTGCATGGGCCCGCCCCCTGGGTTCCTTACTACCGGAGCTCCGCTCCTGTGTGCTCCCACAGGAAATTACCCTTGCTGAGTGCTAAGGGAGGCCATTTTTGAGCATGGGAGGACCCCTGTCGAAAACCTAGGCCAAACGTACTGCTATGAAAATAATGGCCAGAAGTCGCTAGGTCTGCCGAGGGCTGTGGATCAGTGTGTTAGTTCTTAGGACAACGGCCATATCCTGCTTCACTCAGGAGGGAAACTGACATTTGACATCATCGATCTTGGTTCTATAACATACACTTTTAATGTATAGAGGTCCCTTTAATAATGAACTTCATTCCCCCTGTGGTCCCCCAGATTCCCCCCCTAGAGTTGCTCCTGAAACTGCAGCTGGGATTATGTTCTTCAGACGAGAGGAGAATGGGACGGGGAGGCCAGAGCATCCAATTTACAGTGTTCTCTCAACTTGCTTATTTGGGTTGGAAAGTTTCTTGTAGCAGGAAAAGAAGCCTCGTTATCTTGCTCTTCTAAAAGGACAGGGTGTTTTTTTTTTACTGCATGGCTGTGCAGATTCCCAGAAGTTTACGTTGCAGGCAATGCAGAACAGATGTACATGGGATGTGGCTTCTTGGTACTGGAGTGCAGTTTAAAAAAACCAAACTGAAAACTTGTAGACTTTCCCACATACATAACTTAATACATAACTTAAACACATATTGCCATAAGCTTAACACATAACTTAAATACAATAACTTAAATGCATAACTTAAATACATATTGCAATAAGATAACCAATAAGTGAATATTTGACCTCTGAAGAAGGCCCCAATAGGGCAGAGACGCGTCAGGTCATGTGTATTGGCCCTTGTGTTTAGGCTGTACTTTTTTACAAGGCTTTCATTGGGCCCTTATGTATATTTTTAACTGTCTTTCTAATCAATGCTTGTATTTTTGTATAAGTTCTAACTAGGTTTTTAATATTGGCCCTTCATTAGACTTTCTTCTCACACTTTTGGTTCTTGATTCCGGTTTTTGGGTCAGGTTTGTTTCCCCCCCCCTGTGTCTTACTGAGAACTGGATCGTTACCTGGAACCTCCATATCCAGAGGCAGTATACTTCTGATCACCAGTTGCTGGGGGGGGGGTAACATTAAGGAGAGGCTTTGGTCTCTGCTCCCCCCCCTTTCGGCCTTCTGGGGCATCTGGTTGGCCATTAACAGAATGCTGGACTAGATGGACCTCTGACCTAGCTGCGCTGCTCTTAAGTTCATTTCGTGTCCCTCTGGCAAAAATCACCGTCCTTCTGTTGTGCTGTGAATTGTTCTTCCTCCCCGATGACGGCAGAAGTCCTGTTGTAGCCATCAAGGGGGCTGTAAAATGTCAA